GGGGGGGGGGGGGGGGGGGAGAGGGAGACAAAGTTTGTTTTGTCAATGTTCAATAACTTTGTAATATTAGCTGGAATGGTCTCAAGGGTTTTGTCCAAGATTGTAGCTTCTCCCCTCACAGAGAACTTGTTCTATTCAGGGATGTTCAGGGCAAAACCGAACAATAGAAATGGACTTTTATTGAATCTCTAGAGTCTAGGTGGAACACTTCAGAACTGTATAAAAAGTTATATTAAAATTGTCAGAGCTATCCAGTATAAATAAAGTGGCTTAGTTTAGGTTTCCTCCTAAGAGTGCTTTTAGTAGACGTCTAGGTAGAACAGTTTAGAATTGATAGAGCTATTGTTAGGTTCCACTTGTTTGGCTTTGGTTCCACCTGTAGCAACTGGCCATTTACTCCAGTAGACCTATTGTTTACCCCAGTAGTGAAGAAAGATGATCATGAATAAAAAGGCTCAACCTTTAATCTACCTACTTTCTCGAGAATGTGAAAAAATATGAGAAAGTAGGTAGATAAAAGGTTGAGCCTTTTTATTCATGATCGTCTTGCTTCACTACTGGGGTAAGCAAAAGGTCTACTGGGATAAATGGCCAGTTGCTACAGGTGGAACCAAAACCAAACAAGTGGAACCAAAACCAAACAAGTGGAACCTAACGTTATCTTTTTAAAACTTTATTTATATATTATTTATATAAAAAATCTCAGCACAGAATGGTTTCATGTACGCTTATAAATCGTTCGCATCCGATCTTTATCTGATATACCATCGGATATCAGATAATGATCGGCTGCTCATGTTTTATCTAGTACTTAACTGTATGGGGGAATGGCCTTCATTGAGCCTCAGTAGTTGTAATTTCTGAAAAAATGCCCTGCTTACTAGACCTCTATATAGAGCTATCTAGTATAATTAAAGTTAGTTTTGATGTATTAAATTTCCAGAGCAAACGAAGACGGTGAAGTGTTTATGAAAACTCTAACGGACTGTTGGGTGGTTGGGAGAAAATCTGATCAACGCGAACTTTATGTTATTCTACATCAGAAAAATGCAAACTTGATTGATGTAAATGGTGAGTAATCAGGAAGTTGTAGCAAGAGTTCCAGCTATATCGTGCTATACAACTCCAACCTTAATTCAGCGTCAGGATCAGTAGAGTGCGTGGTAGTCGTGCAATATTACCAGTCTCAGGACTCAGCTTGTATGTGCAAAAGAAACGAATGGCTGTCAAGCTGTAAACAAAACAGCCGTTCCAAGAAGTGTGTATTGTATTGTTTTAGAGGAAGTAAAGAAAATGACAGCCACACATTTCAGCCACATCTTCTTCCTGGACTGAAGTAATTACCCCCAACTTGTTTATGAAGGTAACGTGTGTAAACTCTTTGATTCTGCGTTGCGTGCCGTGGCATGGCATATGTGTAAATGTTATATATTTTTAGACCTATATATAACCAGGAACGGCTGCGAAAAATGCAACTATAGGTCCTCTGGCAGGAATCGAACCTGCAGCCCTGCGATTCCGGTGCAGCGCTCTAACCAACTGAGCTATAGAGAGTCCAGTTGTCGAGTCCTAACTACAGAGTTCAGTTGACGATATCATGATTTTTGGCCATCTCATTCAACATTTCGTTCTGTCGTGTGAGATGCCCAAAAATCCTGATGTTTGCCCATATTATATAGTATAGCTTAGCATGACATGTTTTCTTCAAATTTTATTAAACCGCGTCAAAACTGATCAGCTGGTCGCTATAGCGCTATCCACCGGATAGTAATTTTTCAACCTTTCGAAAAATGCCTTAGAAGCTGTGTCTGTAAAAGTGCGGATGAGTTTTGATACTAAGAATATTAAAATTGGTCTAGAAAAACCAGTGTTATGGCTGTTTGAAAATAATATGTGGTCCATCCAATGGACCACTCAAATCACACATCATGCAGTTGTGTTAATTATATGCAAGTCGCATGCACTTTGTCATACAGCAGCAAACATGCACGATGAGACATCTCATATGGTCGGAATAACAGAAAACATAACAAATAAAAAATAACAAATAAATAACAAATAACAAATAACATCTCATATATAACCAGGAACGGCTGCGAAAAATGCAGCTCTATAGGTCCTCTGGCAGGAATCGAACCTGCGGTCCGGTGCAGCGCTCTAACCAACTGAGCTATACAAAGTCCAGTTGTCGAGCTCTAACTACAGAGTTCAGTTGACGAGTTTTGACACCAGTGACGCCAGTGTGAGGTTTATGGGTAAATATCATGATTTTGGGCATCTCATTCAACATTTAGTTCTGTCGTGTGAGATGCCCTCAAAATCCTGATGTTTATAGTATAGCTTAGCATGACATGTTTTCTTCAAATTTTATTAAACGTCAAAACTGATCAGCTGTTCGGGTATAGAGCTATCCACCGGATAGTAATTTTTCAACCTTTCGAAAAATGCCTTAAAAGCTGTGTCTGTGAAAGTGCGGATGAATTTTGACAATGTGAATAATAAAATTGGTCTAGTAAACCAGTGTTATGGCCGTTTGAAAATAATATGTGCCAATGGACCATTCAGTTGTGTTAAGTATATGCTAGTCTATATGCACTTTGTCATACAGCAGCAGACATGCACGATGAGACATCTCATATGGTCGGAAGTAATATTAATAGAACTTATAGAGGTGAATTTGATTACTAATTTCACAGATTACAATCCAGGGACCGAACCATCACAGAAAGTGTGGGGTGGAGTTGACATTCGCTGACTCAACTCAAGTTCAGCTATTGACTCGACTTGACATGTAGTGACTCGCCACTCGTCTTAAGTGGAGCAATTGACTCGGCTCGAGTGAAGCCATTGACTCGACTCGATTCGATCAGACAGTGAAATGACTCCATCCGTGGATGACTCGTTACAGCACTGAAAAACTGGCCGTGGAACATAGCTATTGAAATTTTTGGGACACCTCGTATATTCACTTTGATATTGAACTCGCGTGCAGACGGTGTGGGGGTGACGTAGCGTGGGGGTACACAAGAACATCACCCTGTGTCCTTGTTTATCTACTTCGAGCACACATGTTTAATGCTTCCTTCTATGTAAACGTGAAAGTCTACGATACACTCTATAAAATGCATATCCAATACAATATTTTATTGACCACTCCCCAAATGGGTATTTTCAGTAACAATCACAAGAATGATAATTACTACATAAATACAATAAATATACAATACGGCTGTAAAATACAATAAATATACAATACAATATTAAACTACATAAATACAATAAATATACAATACGGCTAAAATCTACAATAAATATTACATGCATGCATAATGGTAAAAGTTTGTCAAGTAAAATTCCCTTTAATTTACGTTTAAGATGTGTCATATTCGATTTAAGTATTATTATTATTTAAGTTTTAAAATCTTCAACTGCCATACTCGCTCTATACCATTGGAAATAGTGGTTCGTTGAGTGTTTTTTCTAATTAGATAAAAACAGGTGTAGATGTATTTAAACTTTGCTCGTTTTCTGTGGATGTCTATAGTAAAATGAAAATTATAATTGAATTAACACATTAATACACTCGAAGATTAAATTGTGGTTAAAATTTTCCTGCTTACTATTCCTCGTTAAATTTCCTCATGGTTATTGCAACCTTTTTCTTTTATAGTTTAGTTATTCTGACCAGGACGTCCTGTCTCTATTATAACCAGACTATATATATATGTTGTTATAGGGGACACTGGTTATTTATCCACCTAACATAATCACATGATCTGGTTATTTTAACAAGGACGCCCTGGCTGGTCAAATATAACTAGATTCCTGGTTTACTATGGTAAGAAGCGAGAAAAAATAACCAGGAAATTTACCCAAGAATATCAAGTTAACCCAAATAGAGTAATTTCTAGGTCAACCAGAAATTTTAATCAGAGTGTTTTTGAGATAAAACTTGTAAAAAAATTATATTGTGTTATTAAAATTCAAAATTCAAATCAAAGCAGAGTGAAATTTGTTAACATTTTTAATGCAGTTCATTATTGATTTTATACCTGACTCGTTGTTTCACAGCAAAGTGCTTCGTTATACAGCATTTCTTTCAAACGGTGAAAATTTGGCCGATCATCCGGATCTTCCTCCCAACACTTTGACATTACATCGGCACTGTAGACAAAATTAAAATTTATTGAAGTGTAACAACAATAGTCTAAAATACAATACAATAAAGAAATCATTTTACTGCCGGTGTCAAGCGAAATTTGTGACCTCTGCGAAATATCCATTGACATAGTTAATGGAATAGATGGTTTGGAAACTCATTATAGAATAGCAATATAACACTTTACCGTTACGTTCGTATTGTATTTTTGCCCAACGAACCAAAAGCAATGTTTTAGGAAAATTACCTATCCGTGACTCGAACAATGTATAGGGTAAATTGGAAATTGCTTTTGGTGGATTTGGCAAAAATGCAATACACACGTGACGATGAAGGAACAGATATTTATGCACATAATCAACCGTTGACTAACATCGATAATAACACGCAGATCAACTCAACTAAAATATCTCATAAACGAAGCAAAAAAAAACCAACTACAAAATGGTTTACTCTTTGGAACTTCGTCAGGTTATCTCATTTTGAATTAATCTTGTTTTATTAAAAAAGATACGAAATTACTTACATTTCCTGAGGGCAATAATTAGGCGGTTCCAGTCGTCTTCCAGTCAACAGAAAGTCATATAGATCATTTGCATCTATTCCTGGGTATGGTGTTCCACCTGGAAAAACATGTTAAGTAGTCCTGCAGATTCATATGAAACAGTCCATGCGTTTTAAGTTAAAAGCATAAAATTTAGTACAGATATAGACACATATATATACAGGGGTATATGTGTATAAAAAAAGGTAATCGAACTTCATCGCGCAATTGTATCTGAATTACTCTGCGTATGAACGAGATTTGTTCTTCGGAAAGATCAGGCTTTTAGCTGTTGAATGATATGTTCTTCATGCCAATTGAAAAAAAATAAGCAAGTACGAGTCGGATAAAAAATGTTAGTCAGAATCGCATATTTTCACCGTTGAGAGTCGAGTCTAAAACCATTGAAAATTAACCCCCTTCGGTACTTAAGTTGATGAAAACTGTACGCACATATTCATAATTATTGTTATAAGTAGGAATAAATATTAGCTAAGCTACGACACGTTCGTGATTAATTGCTTTTTCGTTTGTTATACACTGGTTTATTTAAGCACAGAGGTGAAAATATACGATTCTGACTAACATTTTTTTATCGGACTCGTATACTTGCTTATTTGTATATGCTTATTTTTTTATCGGACTCGTATACTTGCTTATTTTCATGCCAATTGGCATGAAAAACATGTCATTCAATATAGCTAAAAGCCTGATCTTTCTGAATATAAAAAACATGCGCCGAGTAGTTCATGCACGTACAATAGCGCGATTACCGAAGTTCGATTACCTTTTCTCATAATATAATCACAATTTATAATACAAAATATAGTTTAAAATCGCACCACTCACTTAAATGTATTGAAGTAATAGTGAACTTGAAAATTAATTTGTTAGGAGTTTTACACTGGGTGCATATAACAAAATTTCGATTGAGCCCATATCCAATATTGTTATATGCACCCAGTGTAAAACTCCTAACAAATTAATTTTCAAGTTCACTATTACTTCAATACATTTAAGTGAGTGGTGCGCCATTTTAAACTATATATTTTGTATTATAAATGCTCAAGAATGGACATTTGAGCATAAATATGGAAAGTCAGTATTTTTTATAAAGTTTAAACCTTCCACAACTTACTTAAATTTCGCATAGTTACTGTTTTGCTTTCTTTCTATAATGGGATGGATCATTTTTGGTAAAAGTAAACTTAATTTTTATCGGGTGCATGTATATATCGGAAAGATTTCGATGTGGTCAATATCAAATGTTGTTTACAATGTGTTTATGTATGAATATTTGTGCCAAATTTACCGCTTTTACCTTGAAACACAAGTTTTTACGAAAATTTACATAAATCTGCTGGACTAATGTTATTTCTGCCATTTGCAATAGAAGACAGTGGTGACGGAATCTTCTCCTCTGGAAGCAATCGTATTCGGCCCTTGCAAGTGACGTCACAACATATAATTTCATGACGTAATTGGTTAAAAGTACTCACCCAATGTAAAGAGTTCCCAAAGTAAAATGCCAAATGCCCACCTACACGTGAATTAAGGAGATCAACTTAAATACAAGTAAAATGAGAATTCGATTCGTATTTGGTCATTTTTCTTTGTAATTCACTCCGGCAAAACTAACACTTTGGGCGTTAAAATTTTTCTGGTTAACCTAGACATAACCCTTAATATTCCTGGACAAATTTCCTTATTATTTTAACCCTGCATGTAGTTAATTTGACAAGGACTTCCTAGTTATTAAATTAACCAGACTATATCAGGTGGATAAATAACTTTGATATAGGAAGTGAGATAAAATACTAGGAAACGAAACTAGGAATATCAATTTAGGAAATTTTGACCAGAATGTTTTAGAGTGTGATGCAAAGTATCATTGGACATCTAAATGCCTGATTTTTTGTTGCTGTAATGCTGTATACAAATTTTATTGATAAACTCAATATCTAACGACAACATTTAACAACATAATATATATAGCTGACTTTGGTCATTTTTCTTGTTATAAACCTTACGCAAGTTCACTTTTCGGACAGAAAACCATTGACTAAAAACAATAATTTTGTCCTGAACAACAATCTTAACTTACACGTCTGACTTCTCGGTAAATACCAAATCTCTGATGGACTCGACCGACATCCATTTTAATGGAACAAATCCCTGCAAAAGAAGCAAGCTAAATCTACATACTGTTTTACGTGAACAAAAAGCATCATTAGTAACATTATACCTTTGTATGTAAATGCGTTAAATTGTGCATGTAACGGAAAGACTATATATAGTTTCATAATTATTCTGAAACTGCAGAGAACAACAAAAATTCGTTGTCCTGAGCAGGATTCGAACTCGGGTTTTTATACCTCCGCTATCGAGTTGTCTACGCCTGTGCCCGGCGTACTTAATTGATGAAATCGATAATCGATGAGTATTGATATCAATCAATACCAATCGATATTTATTAATCGATTGATATTGGAAATCAATGAATAATCGATGGCTTGTTTTGCTGTGACTTTCATCTAGTGATCATCGATTTTTTATCGATTTTCATTGATGAAAAAATCCTCTGTTAATATGCATCCAATCAAACAGGTAACGCCATAATTTAATTAATACGTACTTTAATGTCGTAACAAACTCAAGTGTGAACGGAATTCAGTAACAATGGATTAAATTAAGTATTTATCTAGCTATACAGATCAAATACATGTGTATCAATTACGTCATTAACATTGATTACCATCGATTTCCGATGATCGGTTTTCATCGATTAAGTACGCCGGGGGCTTGTATCACAGACCTTACAATTAGTAAGGTCTCTGAAAATTAGCGCGATAGCTTGTTCCATGCTCAAATTAAATCCTCAGTTTTGGGGATTAAATTTATTTAAATTTGGCATTATAAATTCGTTCGTACTATCAAAATTTGGAATATATTTTATCGTATGTTATGATGATGATAAACTTCATTTAACCACGCTAATATTGTCAGCAAAAGCTGGTTTCCACAATGGGCGTGTAAAAAACATTAACAAATTGTTACAAATAAAATAATATCGTTTATACATTGTTTTAGTTTTTAAAGCTTTTTTATTGTCTTATATTGTCCGATTTTGAATGATTTGTAACGCCCAACAGGGTGATTTGATCGCGTGGCGAAACCGGGATTTTACATTTTCGTGGTCACAGCACATGTGGGCATAAAAATGTTAAAATTCACCCAAACACTGAACATTTATATGTATTTGAAATCGCTGGAACATGACATTTTAAATATGTTTGGATGAATTTCATGCAGATGCAGTATTTCAGAAATTACGATCGATATAACGTGTTGTTTTTAAATGGCTTATTATATACATACATATAGGAAATATTATACAGTACAACAGATATTTCTAATTGTCAGGTCTGTGACACAGGCTGCCATATCGAGTTTTATCCAATTTAAGTGCATGAAATACTTTCGCGAGGACTGAAAGGGGCAGTGTTACGGTTCTACTGCGCATCCAAAATATGCGCGAACTTGAAAAAGTGTCTGCCAACAATTAATCAAGTTAGGAGTGAAATACGATATACTATTTACTGGGAAAAAATGTGAAATCCATACTACGAAATTTGCAATTGCACCACTAAATCCATAGTATATCCATATACTATTTCCATACTATATCCATACCATGGAAATATACAATTATTATGGATAACCAAAATCCATTCTATTTCCAATAAAGGTCCATACAATTTCCATTTGACCTTCTATGGATTTTCAAAATTCTTTCCAGTGATTTATAATCCCTTCGTTATGCAGGACATCCTTGCCTTGTTTTAAAAATTGAAGGCTGCTGCATCTTTTCCAATCATATGGCATTAATTTTAAACGTTTCTTATACCAATTTTTATATACCAAAAATTAGTTATATACTAATTGAGGACCCTTCTGTAAACCACTACTTGTGAAGTTGGTATCCTCATTAAAAATTATATTCACTAAAGCTAGCTCACTTTTATATTTCAGAACCATCCTCGAGATATGAAAAACATGAAACTATATCTCTGAGGATGGTTCTGAAATGGAATTGTAACCGAAAGATGTAGCTATAAGTATAAATTATTAGGAAGATTTTAACGCACTTACTGCAGACTTCTTTAAGTATTTGTGATATTTATAAACATCTCTGGCCAGCCCAAAGTCTCCAATCTTTACCACATAACCTTTGTTTCTTGCAGCCAAATCTCGATGAATTACCTGTGAGAAAAGGAGCAGGAATAAGATGTGAAATCAGGTCCTTTCAGCTCTCGGTGAACACTGAACACTGTCTAGTCTAAATTGTTGTAGTCCTAAAATTCTAAGAAAGGCAGGTCATCTATATAGAGAGGTCATGAGATATGAACCACAATTAATGCAGAACATTTTTTTATTCTAGGGTACATTTTTTAGTTAGTTTAAGTACTAAAAATGTATTTTCTAACCTGTAAACAATTGCTGAGAGTGTTTTCATTGTGTTTTCATTTCTCTTAATGCTATTAGAAACGAATAACGTGCTGCTTTCTTGTTCAGAGTTCAGAAATTTTGAACCGCCATCTAGTTTTTTTTTGTACTGGCAGGAAATGAGCATTGTAATATCCTGCTGGTAGAGGGCCAATTAAATTTCAGAAAAACTTATACCCAGTAATTGTCTATATAATTATTAAGACCTGACCATGCAATGTCAATATTATCTCCTGAAATGGGATAATGCAGAGGTCACGGGTTCGATTGCAACCGTGCATTTCAAATAAAATTCTGCTTATTCGGTAAAAATAATTAGGATGTCATTTGGAGAAGTCCATTAGGAGAATTACCTTTCGCGAAGTCAAGAACGTCATTCCTTTGGTAATTTGCCAAGCAAAATACATCAAAGTTTTTGGTCCAATGGCTTGGTCAGGATCAGGAATCAAAACCTCTTCATTCAGGTCGTAAAAATTCCGACTGTTTCGTAAGAATTCTCGAAGATTTCCATTTGGACAATATTCCATTATTATCCACAAGCTTGAACTCTTTCCTGTAGGTAAAAGTAAGGAAACTATCATACTTGAATACAAAAGTTGACAATGGATTAAAAGTTTTAAGCAAGACTGGCAATCTACTGGGGCCGGTTGTTCAAAGCTAGATTGGCGTTAACCAGGGCCACCGAGGGGGGGGGGGGGGGCAAATTGCCCCGGGCCCCGAGGTGCTGGGGGCCCCTGAAAATTTTTATTTGGGCCCCAGTCATTTTTGTGCGTTAAAAATTTCCGCGCAAAGGACAAGATATGAGAACACGTTCACTCTGGGAAATGGGTGCTGTATAGAGCCCGTGCAATCTCTTAAAAATGTCATTTCCCAGGCCCCTTTCAGAGGGCTACGCCTCCCTCGATATGTATTAGAAACCCATAGTTGTTGCTAACCTTTTGTGCAAGCACCTAGTATGTTTACTATGTTTTCATTTTCACCGACATGAATTAAAATCTTTAGTTCTGACTGCAAGTCAACCAGACTTTTGTGATCCGCATTTTCTGAAACAGAAGCATTTTATTCGTAATTATAGACATGCCTGTGAATTTTATTTTTGTGGGCGTAACTATGTAGGGACCACCAAGAGAACGAAAACTAGTTACCTGGGGACAAAAATACATGGATCCTGAAATCACTGCCAATCAAAGGTTTACGACTTTGGCAGATCCTTTTCAAATAACCCTTTTTATTATTAATTTTACAATAACAATTGAATTAGACTCGGACAACAAGACAAATGAAGTCCTGAATTAAGGTTACAGGACACCCTTTTTGGCGTTTTGCGGAAAATCGCTACTGCACGCTCAAAATCAGTCCGATTTTCATCAAATTTTCACCAAATGTTAGCCAGTGAATGCAAAATATGATAAGTTTGTAAAATTGACAAACAATAAAATAATGTAAGAATTATTCAGGAAAATTTTAAGTCGCGGTTCCTTTACGCTTTTGAGTTAATATGTTTCTGCTGGTTTTAAGATATATTTATGAAAATGTCATTTTTATACAGTAAAATAGGTTCTAAAAATTGTTCGCAAATTTTTGTTTATGTCGTCATTCCGCTGATATGGCGATTTCTTTGACGACTGCAATATATTTCTGAATCGTTTTGTGAATTGCTCCTTATTATTAAAATATCCAAAATTAGAACAAAGCCGAACACAATTTTGAAACTGACGTCTTTAGCTATGTCCTGTGATAGTTTGAGAAAAATTCGTTAAAGCACAACTCGTTTAAAAATCAGTAATCGCCGTAAAATTCTTCGGGAGAAAATTGAATTTGAATATTACATTTTCAATGTTTTTCTTATTGCAAGCGAAATGTATTTTATTAAATAACTCTGCGAGTTTTCAACATTTTTTGTCCAAACTTGGTCAGATAGTAGAACTAGTCTAATGCTTTCATGGAAACCAATAAAAAAATTTTAGGCAAAATTAACACTCAAATGTGTTCTGTAACCTTAGGTCCTGCTTCATTAATATGCTATGTTTAACAAACATAAAACATTTTCCGTTTTGATATACAGTTATATCAACACGAGTGGAATTGGGAAAACGAGAAATTGTATGGAAACACGACGCCCGAAGGGCGGAGTGTTTTCATACAATTTCGAGTTTTCTCAACTTCCACGAGTGTTGATATAACTATATATCAATACGGAGAAATGTTTTATATATTTTTTTATAATATAGCAATGTCAAAAGCCCGAAGGATAAGAAAAATTTCCGTGTTACAACTGGCGGAAAATTTCCCGTGTTGACATTAAGTTATATCAACACGGCTCTTAGCCAATCAGCGTTCAGAATTTACAAATGCTATATTATAATAATTTATATCACTATGAAACTAACAAATTTGTTTTGGAAATTACATGGTCTGAGAAGTAATAATGAAAAATCGCATGTTGGTGAAATATTTCTAATTTGCTAAGCAGTCAGTTTAGTTTTCAGCGACTTAGCAGTAAGAAAGAATTTTATTTCGTTAGGCAGGCTGTCCTATATATAGGGGCAATCCTATATTGAAAAATACATTTCGGAAAGACGTTCTGCAGAAGTTGTCGGTAGGAATCAACATGGCGTTGGAGTTGACATGTAGCTAACTTCAGAATTTTTATAAAATTATTTTGGGCATTATTATAATAAAAACATGATTAAACTATTTTATCACCAAAAATATTGTAGAATAAAATTGTATTGAAATATGAAAGTCAAACCTTTAATACTTTTGACAGCAACGTTTGTTACTTGTCTACTACGTAGTAACATGTCTTTTTTCGCCTTACGCCAAAAGAAGGAAAACCGTCCTGCACGTTCTTTCAACATCTCTCTTGGCTGAAATCCAGATATACCAACTGCTTCTGCCAGCCAAACGACTCCAAACTGTCCAGAACCAAGTTCATTAACTGAAAAATTGTATGGATAACTAAATTTTTAGAAAGAAACCCATGAAAAAAATGTATTTGGCATTCCTGGAGCATCCTAAGACTTGCCACAAGTCCGCCTCAGAACTTTTCTCTTTGAAGTCTTTGAAAAGGATTTTGTGAAAGTCCTGCAAGGTGTAACCAAAAATTTCAAATGACTTCAAAACGATTATTGCGAATTCAATAACTTATTGTGCAGTATGTGGGTGCCAAGCACTGGAATGAAATGTCCTAAGGCCCGAGTTTTCATTACAGCTTAGTGCTGTAATATTATCATTGCTAGCTGATCTGGTTTTATACCTATATGGGTGACACTGACATAGTTAATATTGGAATCACAATATTGTGTTAAGCGTTGAAAGGAAAACAAGAGAGATTATTATGTTTTAGCTCAGGCACTCTTATTGTTGCACTAACGAGTAACGTTTACACTTTATTTAAGATCATCAGGTGCATTCACCAAACGAGTGGTTATGATACAATTTTTATTATATAGGTACTGAGATTTATTAAAATGACGTTGCGTAATAATCGTACGGAATTTTGCCACAGCCATGCAATCAGCGACGCGAACGATGAAATTTCACCAGTGAAACAACATCGTTCGCGCCGTCTGATTGGTAGCCTGCGTAGCACGCGGTAGAAGCTAGAAATACCGCCTGCCCAAAAACTACACATTCTGAGTTCCGCCCACCGAAGTACCGAACGCATGGTCCCGCCCATCTTAATGTATTTATTTTAATTATTTGTCAAACTCACGTATTTGCACCAGTGCAAATATACGGCTTCGAAGCCTGTTCTAAACGTCGCATTTTAATACATGCGCCAAATGCATTCAAAATAATGCCAATGGATAATGAGGCATTTCAGCTGATTATCTATTGTTTTGAATGCATTCGACGTTTAGAACAGGCCTGACGTTTCATATCTTCGGTTCATTCAATGCTATGAAGACAAAAATGCCACGTTCGATTCAGTGTAACAATGTGTCCTCATTCATAGCGATAGTTTTAGTCGATGTCAACATTATAGCGATTTATGAGCTTTGAAAGTCAAGCGAGTTCGTGTATTATCAAATTACGCAATTGTCTGAACAAAAATATAGACTAGCCATACCTTTCGCCGAACATAACTTCGGCCCCTTCGGACGTAACTTTGTAATAGTCTTGTTCCAATCGCTATCAAAAACACTACTTAGAGTGTCATTTACGAGCCTGTATCTTCAAATCTGCACTTTTATCACGGTATCACATCTATCAAGCAACAAATGTTGGATTGATATTCGTTGTTCATTCTTCAAGACGAAGCGATTTCCGATTCCAGATAAAGATTAAAGAATTCAACGCTTAATTCTCAATTAATACATTCGTTATCTTTTGGTTAGTGTATGCCATCACTCGATATATCGGTATCAATTACGAAAATAACAATAGTTTATATTATAAATACGGCAACAGTAACTTCTAAAATTAGCACTAATTATTCTAATTCTGTACTCCTGTCAATCAAAAATTCAAAATCAACATTCTGACCAATCAGATACCGCCTGCTACGCAGGCTACCAATCAGAATGCTCCGGCACCCAGCTGCCGGGGAGAACTCAGAATGTGTAGTTTTTGGGCAGGCGGTATTTCAAGCTTCCCATTTCTCTCGTGCCCGCGAATACCGCCTGCTACGCAGGCTAACTCGAGCAGGCTCCTATAATACTTGGCATTACCGGTACCTGAGAAGACCCTCATGAGAAGACTCCCAAATGCACGAGAGCGCCCCTACTATATATGGTATAGATGGCCTTATATGTATATACAGTATGTAATATGAACTGTGTAGAATCAACCACAACATACGCACTATATATTATATCAGCAGTGTGTATTATATAATTAAATATATATAAATATATATATATATAAATATATATATATATATATATATATATATATATATATATATATATATATATATATATATATATATATATATATATATATATATATATATATATATATATATATATATATATATATATATATATATATATATATATATATGTAGATGCGTCATGCGTGACGATTGGTACAATTAATATGTAAATAAATTGTAAGAGTGTGGCCGGCTATATAAAAGTGTAAATAGCTAGATTTTTAGTGTGATTTTGTGATTCTTGTGAGTACAAGTGTTTATAATTAAAAGAAACCCAGGTTTATCAGATCGGTGTCTACATTTATGGTCCTTCGAACCGGATAGAACGTTAGATTCTAAGTGCGTAAGGCTTTAGAAATATGGCTGAAGTTCAAATGGCTTCAGAGACAGCCGAAAATGATGTGTTGATGCTTGGGGAACGAGGATTAAATGGCCGGGTTTCTCGACTGGAGGAAAATGGCGATGGAATTAGTCCGCCAGAGAGGCCAAGACGGGAAACAAGACAGAACACGCGTTTAAACTCGGAAGAACTGGTCGCAGAGAAGTTAATAAAGTTGAAGAATTCAAGAAGCGGTCATGTAGGACATTTGACGTACTTGGCTAATAAGATAAGTGCACTTTTAACTGATAACAGTAATATTAAAATGGTAAAGGAACTAAGTGTAATGTTTGACCGACAATGGGATCGCTTTGAACTCGTGCATGACGAAATATTAGTCTATGCTAGCCAAGACGAATTGACTAAAGAAAATGCTTTTCGTGTCTATAACGAACAGTCGCAAAGAAAATTAGACCTGTTTGACAAAATCCTACAGTATTCAGATAGGGTAAAAGTTAGATACGATCAGAAAGAAACTTTAGATGGAAATGTCGAGACGCTACGTAAATCTAGTGATCATTCGCCCAGAACGAGTATTTCTTCAAGCAGTACAAAGTCTCTCGGGGCTCGCCTTAAAAGAGAAAAGGCGTCTACCGTTTCATAACCAAGCGAGATGGAGAGATAGAGTTAGCAAGATCTTAAAGTCGAGTCATTCGCGACCTACGTTTTGGTGATTTAGTGGAATATCTGCAAGAAAGAGCCAGCTCAGAAAACAACCCGTTGTATAGGAAGTTGTCAGGAAATTTCAAGAAGGACGATACAAAAACTAGAGGGAAAAGTAACCTCAACAAATCTGATGGAACGAGAATATCAAGCTTTGCCACCCAGTTTGATTCAGCGCCCTCAAACCAGCGATATGATGAAAGATCACCGAGCTGCCCCCGCTGCCATAATAAACATCATCTGTCCTCATGCACAAAGTTCTTACATGATACTCCTGAGAACAGAAGAAAATTTGTGCTGCAATCCAAATTATGCTTTCAATGTCTATCCCCTGGGCATTACAAAAGATACTGTAAAAGTATCAAGTGCGAAGCTCGTGGTTGCAATAGACGGCATCATAGTCTGCTGCACTTGGACAATGTACAATACCCAACATCGGAAAACGCGAGAAGATCAAACCAAGCAACGACTTGTGATGCGAGTGTACAAACGAATGCAGCTAACATTAGCCCAAAAGTCTACAGGACCACGACAGCGTTGCCAGTCGTAGCAGTAGTCGTATGCGGTAAAGACGGCAAGAAGAAATCCACATATGTTTTATTAGATCAGGCAAGTGAAGCGTCGTTCATCCATAGCAATTTAGCGCAACATCTGAACCTAACTGGTACGAAAGGAATACTCTCAGTGAAATCTTTAACTGGTTGTAAATCAATACACGTGGAGAGAGTCCCTCTTAACGTAGAGTCAGCTAGTCATTCTTGTGAAGGATCGAGGATGCAGTGTAAAGATGTCATCATTACCGATACTCTGGATGTCCAACTTAAGGTTGTTCCGAAACAAGAAAACATTACTGACTGGAAGCACTTATCGGACGTTGAATTTCCTGACATCGATTGCAACGGTATCGAGCTATTAATCGGGGCTGATAATCCAGCAGCCTTTATCACCGATGAGATTAGAGTTGGTGGACCAGACGAACCATGGGCATTCAAGTATAAATTTGGATGGGCTCTGATGGGACCGATGAATCGTGATCAACAGACTAGAATCGATGTCCATCTTCTACAACATTCTGAGACCCAGAGCGAGGAAAAGCTGTTGTCAGAAGAAATCTATCGGTTTTTCAAGGATGATGGTCTTGGAGTGGTGACGGATACGTCAAGGACGATGTCGTTCGAGGATAAGAAAGCGAAGGAAATCATGGAAGATTCGGTGTCTATGGTCAATGGGCACTATGAAGTGGGAATGCTGTGGAAAGACGAGGACATTAGATTGCCTAATAACCACCGCATGGCACTGAAACGCCTAGAATACTTAAAAACTCGTCTCCAGAGAGATGAAAATCTGCTTCATCAGTATCGAAAGAAAATAGACGAGTATGTCACGAAGGGGTACGCAACGAAATTGACGACTGACGAAGCCGCAAGGACTTCATCCAAGACATGGTATCTACCACACCATCCAGTTTTTCATCCGAACAAGCCCGGGAAAGTTCGGATTGTATCCGACGCTGCCGCAAAGTTCGAAGGTACATCGTTGAACAATAATCTGCTTCATGGTCCTAATTTGGCGAATAACGTAGTTGATGTGCTCCTGCGATTTCGACAAAAGAAAGTAGCGGTGATGGCCGACATTCAAGAAATGTTTCATCAAGTAAGAGTTCCAGAAGATCAAAGAGATTCCTTACGTTTCCTATGGTTTTCTCCTAACCTCAACGATCCACCGGACACGTATTATATGAATGTTCACATATTTGGTGCAAAGGATTCTCCATCAATAGCGAACTTTGCATTAAAGAGAACGGCTGAAGATAATGTTAATGAAGTTGGGCGGGAAGTTGTCGAGGTGGTTAAGAAAGCCTTCTACGTAGATGATCTTTTGAAGTCGGTTCCGAACGAAGCAAAAGCGATTCAATTGACAAACGACCTAAGGGAGCTTCTTCTGAGAGGGGGTTTCCGATTGACTAAATTCTCAAGCACAAGTAAAGATGTACTCGCTACTCTGCCCGCTTCAGAACGCGCGAACTCATCAATGAATCTCGACTTAGATAAATTACCGACAGAGAAAGCTCTCGGAATACAGTGGAATGTTGATGACGACGTGTTTCAATTTAAAGTCACTAACGTAGACAAGCCAGAAACGAAACGAGGTATGTTGTCAACCGTCGCGAGTTTGTACGACCCGTTAGGATTCATCGCTCCTGTGATGTTGCTTGGTAAATACAGCTACAAAGATTGTGGCAGTTGAAATTGACCTGGGATCAACAACTTCCTGATGAAGAGCTGCAAAAATGGCGAAAATGGAAAAACGCACTTTCGCTCTTGTCTAAAGTTAACGTCCCGCGTTGTATCAAAGATACGATACAAGTCGAACAGATGAAGTCAAAAGAAGACAAAGCACTGAAAGACATCCAGTTTCACACTTTCTCGGATGCGAGTGAGAAGGGATACGGTTGTGCTTCTTATTTCCGAAGCGAGTTCAAGGATGGATCAATTGCTTGTACTTTGGCCTTTGGCAAAGCTCGTGCCGCACCTTTACGGAAAATTTCCATTCCTCGTTTAGAACTGCAAGCCGCAGTTTTGGCAGTATACGCATTAGTGAGATGATTCAACGCGAAGTTCAAATTAACTTTAGTAAGATCTTTTATTGGACAGATTCGGAAGTGGTGTTGAAGTATATCATGAATGAAAATAAACGCTTCACCGTTTTCGTTGGTAATCGGATAGCAGAGATTAGAGAAAAGTCGGAATTGGATCAATGGAAGTACTGCCCCGGTGAAGAAAACCCAAGTGATGATGCTTCACGCGGATTATCTCCCTCGCAGTTGACTACGGATTGCCGATGGCTGAATGGACCCTCGGTTCTGAAAGGAGCAGAATCGACCTGGCCTAAAACGTCGTTAGGAAATTTAGAGGATGATGATTATTCGGGCGAGGATGAGATTCAAAGAAGCATGGTTATCGGAATTGATATTCCTGTCCTGCATCAACTACTTGAAAGGTATTCAACTTGGAGTTTGCTGAGAGAGAAAGTTGTATGGCTTACACGATTCAAGTTATATCTCTGTCGTCGTATTTCTTCGGTCTATTCCTGCCCTCGAGAAAAACCCGGCTCTGAGGAATTAAGAACTGCGGAGAACGATATTCTACGATTAGTTCAGCGACACGTTTATGCAGAGGAATACCAACATCTCAGCGAAGGTAATGAATGTGTGAAATCGTCCAGCAACATCGCTAAACTTAGCCCATTCATTGGTGAAGATAGTCTCATAAGAGTCGGAAGCAGACTGGAAAACGCACCTCTTAGCTACGATGCAAAATTTCCTCCTATCATCCCAAAGCAGCATTGGATAGCGGAATTGATGGCACGTGATGTTCATTATAATAACGCTCAAAGCGGTCAAGAACACACACTGAACTTACTACGACAAAGAGTGTGGATTTGCCATGCTCGGTCTTTGGTGAGAAAAATCATCAACAAGTGCTTTGTTTGTCGAAAGGGGAATGCTCCGACACTCACTCAGAAAATGTCACCTTTACAATCATGTCGATTAATGGCCTACGAACCCCCGTTTTCTTATGTTGGAGCCGATATGTTTGGTCCATTGTTTGTAAAACAAGGTCGATCAAACCCGAAGAGGTGGGGATGTATATTTACATGCATGAGTACCAGAGCGATACACTTGGAAGTGGTACCCTCATTGGAAACGGACGATTTTGTTAATGTTCTTCGATTACTTGTTGCAAGACGTGGTACCCCAAAGGAAATACGGACAGATTGCGGAACAAATTTTCGTGGAGCGGACAATGAGTTGAAGAAGGCCATCACTCATTGGAATGATAATCAACTGACCGATAAATTATCTCAGAGGGGGATAAAATGGATTTTTCATCCTCCATATGCCCCTCATTTTGCTGGTGTTTGGGAAAGATTAATCAAAGATGTTAAACGTTCGTTGAAAAGCGATCTTGCGAGGATCATTAGTAACTGATCATGTCTTACGGACAGTATTTGCCGAAGTCGAATCAATTCTCAATTCCCGTCCATTAACCAAGTCAAGTGAGGATGCCAGGGATGCGATAGCTATCACCCCAGCTCATTTGTTGTTACAAAGACCAGCTATGGTTTTTCCTCCGGGAAACTTTGATGAGGAAACTGTGATCGGTAGACGAAGATGGAAGCAAGCACAAATACTTGCTACACACTTCTGGAATCGGTGGATTGAAGAATATTTGACAACGTTGCATGTTCGTCAAAGATGGCTGAAAAGTCAACGTAGTGTTCGTGTTGGAGATCTAGTTCTGGTCAGCGATAAAAGAATACCGAGAGGTCTATGGCCAATAGCTTTGATAACAAGGGTATTCCCTGGTCCAGATGGTAAAATAAGAACCGTTGAACTTAAGACAAAGGACTCGGTATATGTAAGACCTATTGTAAAGATATGTCTTCTTGAAGAAAATGAGTCATAGGACATTGTGTGAAATTATAACGTTTAACTATAAATATATGATTATAGATGAGACTTTGAGAACTCGTCATCGGTGGCGAGTATGTAGATGCGTCATGCGTGACGATTGGTACAATTAATATGCAAATAAATTGTAAGAGTGTGGCCGGCTATATAAAAGTGTAAATAGCTAGATTTTTAGTGTGATTTTGTGATTCTTGTGAGTACAAGTGTTTATAATTAAAAGAAACCCAGGTTTATCAGATCGGTGTCTACAATATATATATATATATATATATATATATATATATATATATATATATATATATATATATATATATATATATATATATATATATATATATATATATATATATATATACAGGGTGTATAAAAAAAGCGCAATCCTCGACTGAAATGTAAATTGCTAAACAAATAATAGACGAAAACGTTAAAGTTTACATTCATTTTAAAGCGTAGCCATTCAGCTTTCTGACAGTGGGTTGTTTCTTAAATTTGACTCATTGGTTCGCGGGTAATAATACTTTACGTTATTGCGATTGGAGATTAAAAAAAGTGAGATGGAATAACAAATCGTTCT